AAAAAAAAAATTTTTTTAGCTGCATATTTAAAAAATCACATACTATAAAATACCATACGGATGGGCCTGGGTCATAATGGTTCAACTTATGATATTTGGACTGTAAAGTGTGAAATTGATAAACATTCAGTGGAAACTGTGCTTCGAATTTTGAATTTTGGTCTTTTTCTGGGCTGGCGATACGTGGTACAGTACTCTCATGATGCTGGGCAGCAGTGAACCACAGCTCCCAGTCAGCTATGTGATCATGGGCGTAAACGACTGACACACTTACAACCATTCCATACTATATGCCCATTCTGTTTTTTACTTTCAGTACAGCATTTAATAAGTTCCCTAGGTTTCCTTCTCGTGTGTAGGTGGCAGATGAACCCAAGTTTCTGAAACCTTCCAGTTTAGATAATCTGTGATTGTGTGCACTGGTGGTGGTGAGTAGTGTTTAGTCAGTCCTCTGTCCATCCCAAATCCAAATGGTTCTGACCTCACCTTGAGAATGACACATTTTGGCTACCTATTCAGATTCAAGTTAAGATCATAACAGAAGCTTTAGTTTCTCTTAGTGTATTTTGAGACTAAGATGATTTAGGTGAGCTATAGTTTTGGAGGTCTAGAGCAGTGAGTCTCAATTTTTCACTAACAAGTTATCATTCTCATGCCTCTTCTCTTCTGCAGCATTCTGGGAACCAAACCGCACTATTATAGTAAAATGTGTTTTCCTATTTTTTAAAATTAATAAAACGAAATTGTCCCAACAGTAAGTGAGCCAGTATCATCATGGTGAGGTGGTATAGTCTCAACTAGCTGCAGAAGGACTTTGGGTAGCTAGAAAACTAATGTATAATGTCTTTTAGACTTTTTGGATTATTGAATATAACCTTTTAACTCTTGGTACTATTTTCTTGGACCCCCAAGGGATTTAGGAATAGTTTTAGTAGTCACTGAATTTTGGAAAGAGAAGTGTGGTACTTTTTTCTTTTAAGTAAATTATGTTCTCTCTATATCATTTAGCCTTGTTAATTTAAGTAATCTATATTATAAGGCATTCCAAAATTTGTTTCTCAGTGATTTTTATAATTTTCACAATATCAAAATATATATTGATATATTTATTTGAACTGAAAAATGAAGTCATACTTTTTTTTTGACCAAGTTTGATTTGTCTAATTGATTAGCTAGCATTCTTTCAGTTCTTTGGCTTCAAGGAATATGGTGCTAAGAGTTCACTCAGATATACTACACCCTGGCAGATCATTCTGGCATGGACAGATGGCTGTGACTATTTTAGCAAAGACATTGTATAGCTTATGAAAAACAACCATAATAACCTTCCCCCAAACCTGTACTATTTCCACAGACTTAAAAACTTTATGTTCAGCTGCTGAGAGCAATCATAATATGTTATATTGTTTTTTAAACCACAGCATTGTTTTACGATTTCGTAATTTCCTTTTTCTATAAATGTGGATGATTTCTTTAAAAACTATAAGTTAATGGTATTATTAATATAATTTTTACTGGCCATGACACTAGTAATTGTACAAACTGGAAGTTTATAAATGAACTTTTTTTTTTTTTTCCTAAGTGTCTTCTAAAAAACTGTCTGGAAGGACTTCACTTGTGATATTTACTTTGACTTGAGGTCATTCATGTAGAGATTTGGAATGTGTGCTCTCAATATTTAGTTGTGCTGGAAATCTAATGCCAGTGTGTTACCGTGTAAACCATAGCTTGTAGTACTTATTGATTGTCTTCAGTATTATCCTAAAAAGTGAAGATTTAAGTTTTGGATTGGAAGAGTGAGGCATAAAATGTACATGTACACATTGTGAAAAACTACGGGGCTGAAAACCATGTGTACTCTTTTTGGGCCAGAGACATTGGGAGAATATCATTCCTTTGAATAGATCAAGCCATCTGTTAATAGAAACTTCAGCATTGCTCTTATAACCTTATCAAACATTTCCTTGGTTTTACAGTTGAAAATGGAAGACTGTGGAGGCTTAATTTAATGAAATACAGATTAAAAAATCACGGGTGATATTTTCAAAAGTGTCCATAATTTAACCGTGAAAATAAAAAAATTAACATTACTACCACTTCATTCTCAGACCCTATTTAGGTTTTGTCTCAGTGAAGTTCTTTATAGCAAAAGATCCAGTTCAGAATCACCCATGACGTTTAGTTGACATGTTTCTTTAATCTCCTTCAGTCTGGAACACTTCTTCAGCTTGTTGACTTTGAAGATTATTTTGTAGAATGAACCTGCGGGTTGTCTGGTGTTTTCTCATGATTAGATTCAGGTTATATATCTTAGGCAGGAATTTTACAAAACTGATTCTGTGTGTCTCTTATTGCATTCTATCAGATCATACATGGTTGCATTTTGTCCCATTGCTGTTGATGTTCACTGATCACCTGATTAAGATAATGTCTGCCAGGCTTTTTCTGTATTAGTTTCCTATTGCTGCTGTAACAGATTACTACAACCTTAATGGCTTATTACAGCACAAATTTATTCTCTTATAGTTCAGCAGGCTGGAAGTCCAAAATCAATTTCACCGGGCTAATCATGGGGTTGGTAGAACTGGTTCTTCTTGGAAGCTCTAGAGTTGAGTCTGTTTTCTTGCCTTTTTTAGCTTCTAGAGACAGCCTGTGTTCCTTGGCTTATGACTCTTCCCTCCATCTTCAGAGGACATCACTCCAACATCTGCTCCCATTGTCATATCACCTTCTTTGTCTTTAACCCTCCTGCATCCTCCTTTTAAGGATCCCTGTGATTGTATTGTGCCCATCCAGATAACGTAGGATACATCTCCCCATCTCATCTTAATTTAGTTGGACCTGTAAAGTCTTTTTTGCTATGTAAGATAATGTATTCACCAGTTCAGGATATTAGGATGTGGACATTTTGGGTGGCAGTCGTTCAGCCTACCATATTTTCCCACTGTAAAATTATTCTTTTCCCTTTTGTAATATTTTGTGGAAAGACACTTGGATCCCTTGTTCTTGTTGGTGGAGAGTGGTATTTAGAAACTAGATCTGGGTGTTAATGTGCTCACTGCTATTGATCTTACACACTGCTCCTAGGCTCCCTTAGTAGTGTTGGGGAATATATATGTATAGAATACATCTGTATTTCTACATTGAAAGATATTAGTTCATACCGAAATCTTCAGTTCCAATTCAGTACCACAGGATTCGTTATTTTCGATTTTTCCATATGTGTAACTCCCTTCTCTGACAGTGAAAAACTGACCCCAGTTATCTTTTATATGTTAACTTATTTGATCAGTCCCCCTGCATATTACCAGTCTCCTTTGCTGTCGTGTATGGATCCATTGTCATCACACCTGGTTCTGATACCTCCTACCACATACCTCTCCTATGTGGGTGCTTTCCTCAAAGCCTGGTGGTAACAGGGTAGTTGGGGTTCTTACTTACATAGTGGCTTTGGAGCATTCTATTATATGCAAAGTTCTTTTACTTATCTAACATCTCATTTAAGCACTGCAGTTTTGTTGTTTCTAGTATTGTGAAAAAATTTCTATTTAGTGTTAGCCAGCTGGACTCAGTGTAGGTGATCTCAGTTTTGTTGGCAACAACCAAAGCATTATAGTCAGGAGCCAGTGGACCATATGCCTTCTTCTCCCATCAGGCCTGATCAGGTGTTGACCTTGGCCCTTTTCAATGTCATAGAGCTTCTTCATAATCTGTTTGATCTGGTGCTTGTTGGCCTTGACATCCATAATGAACACAACAATTATTGTTGTCTTCTATCTTCTTCATGGCTGACTCATTGCTCAGGGGGAACTTGATGATGGTATAGTGGTCAAGCTTGTTGCTCTTCCAGGGAAAATATTTGGGCTGCCTTTGGAGTATCTTGGGCCACCAGAAGGTGGGTGACATGCAGATCTTTTGTGTGTGTGTGTGTGTGTGTGTGTGTGTGTGTGGCTGGGGTTGCCTTTTAGCATTGCCTTGTTGGCCTTCCAAACCTTTGTTTTGGCTTCAGCTTTGGGAAGGGGAGGGTTTTTTCCCTTTGCTTTCTCCATGCCATCTTCGTGGAAAGATACATTTTTATTTTAAAACTTAATTTTTTTTTTTAACTTAGGAAAGTTATTCAAGTGATGGTAGTGAGTTTAGTAAAACAATACATGGTATTTTGGCTTTGGTTTAATTCCTCTTTAATTGAATTGCAGATTTTTCCTGGCGACTAAAATAATGCCTTTTCTTATAACTCCTATATGAACCTATTTTAACTTCTTACGGGTTTGGGTGACTTTTCTAATTTAACATAATTATTCTCATAATTGAATAGTACCATTTCTGCTTAGCTTCCTTTAATAAGCTGCATGTTTCAGCTATTTTATACTTTTCGTACCTTCTATAGCAAAAGGGAAAGGAAGAGAGCATTTCTCAGAAATTGCTGATTATGTGACTAAATATTTTGGGTTCAAGTCAGTTTTTGTGTTTTCAATTAGAAGTTATTTAAGTCTTGCATGAAAATGGTTGCCTGGTAGTTGAACAAGATTTTCCACATAGATCATTTGTTCTGAGTGGCAGAAAAATTAACCTATATTGTCAATTTTTCTTAAAAGTTATTTGAGTAGGTAGTCTTTTATATTCCAGTAAAATTTTAGCATGGTAATGAAGGTTAGTATGGTATTAACTGGTTTTGCCTTCATGTGAAAAATGCTTTAACTTACCACCTTATTTATTTTTTTTTTGACAGAGCAAATTCGATTAAAGAATATCAGAAAAGTATATGGAAGATGTATGTGGTATCGTTTACGGTTATTAAAACCCCAGCCAAATATTATTCCTACAGTAAAGTAAGTAATTGGTTTCAATAAAAAAAAAATACTTAGTGCTTACTCTTTGCTAGGTAACATATAAAATATGGGTATAATGATAAATAAAACATATGTTTAAAGAAATTGTAGCCTTAGGTAGAAGTAAGATGTGAGTTTGGGAGCTTTCTAAACAGTGATTTAGAAGTTCAAAGGAGAGAGAATGTACTTCTGACTTGGGGGAGGAAGGGAGAAAGGGAAGTCAAATCCTGAAGGAAGACCTTGTGCATCTTGTCAGGATTTGCATTTTGCCTTAAAGACAATGGGAGAATCTTTAAAGATTATCAAAAGCAGGGAGGTGACATAATCAAGTTTGCATTTCATAGTGATAATTAAAGTTTATTGAGCACATACTGTATGCCAGATGCTGTGCTAGGGCTTTATGTGTTATCTCATAATTTTATTATTAACTTCAAAGTAGATGTTCTTGCTATTTTGTCAGATGAAGAAATTAAGAGGAAGATGAGGTAACTTGACCAGGGTCCTGGAGCTAGGAGTGGTAGAGCCGGGGACCTTTTATTTTGGCAGGCCAGTCTGGTTAAATAGACCATTAGCATGTTTAATTAGAGGAGGCTTATTTGATTTTGTGAGGCTATGGGGTATGCTGGTTTAGAGCCTAGGCTTTGGGTCTTCACCCTGAGTCATCAATTTTGAGGTAGTAGGTGAATCTGTAAGGTGAAAGAGTTGCTATTATTGGAGGATTGTATCTTGTGAATTATTTATATCTATCTATCCAGTAGATAGGAGGGGAAGAACTAGCAGTGATAATTAGTAAAAGTAGAGCCATTTATTTTTTAATTTTGGTTTAAATGATGATGATAGTTTTCAACATATCTGTGTAACTTCAGGGGGCTTAAATGGTTTTTCTTGGTAAGGTTTTACTTTGCCTAGTTTGGTTCCTTTGCAGAGGGAGGGAAATTTTAGCTTTGGTGTTAAGAGTTCTTCATTGATGCGAAACTAAAAGGCAAAATTAGCGTTTAGAAGAGTAGTTTTATGTTCACTGTTTATTCTTTGCTTTTGCTTCTCATTTTAAAGTTTTATGAGGTAGCAGGGCAGGTAGTTGTGGCCTCCTAATCTCTTCCTTTTTTGGTTTTGGTCAGTACTTTGTGGGTATCTGAACCTCAGTTTTCAAGGAAAAAACCCAACTCTGTGAAGTTCTCTTTAGTGATTAGTAAACTGATTTATGTAAATGGAAGCACAAATTAAGGGATGTTTATAAGTGAGGAAGAATTAAATAGATAACTGGTAACAATTTAGATAAGGTCAGAAACATCAAAACCTTTGTGCTGCTTAACCTTAAAGCATTGTTCACAATTAAGCAGTCATTGTGTAATGCTCTAATTTCAGGAAGTTGCTTCCAAAATGACCTTTAAAATATACTTAGAGTAAAAACACAAGACTTCACAAGTTGGTCACTGATGCTATATGTAGGGAAAAACGCTTATCTTTTCACAGGACCTAAATATGTTTTTCAAAAATTGGGTGTAGATCATGATGAAATCCATTATGTTTCCACCTTTGCTTTGGCTTTCAGGAAATTAAAGCATGGTGTTCTTGGTTGTTACAGTTTTCATCAGCCTGGGGGGTTCTGTGACGAGGTTCTCTAGTCCTCTCTTCATTCTTGAGCTTAGAGAGCCAGGTGCAACATGGAGAGCATCTGTCGTGGAGTATAGTATATCCTAGGTGTTTTGATTCCTCTCCCTTCTACCCTTGTTTGCTTTTAAGTCTTGTTTTAGTGGTTTTCAATTTTACTTTTATCTTTGTTTTCTGAGCTTTCTTAGCCTTTTGGGGCATTGGCAAAACAAAATGTGGAATTATTAACTTGTAGATTTTCAAGTGTTCTGTAGCATATCGAAGGTATGGCAAACTTTGGGTTTGAGTTAAAAATTACTATGTAAATTATTCTCCTTATTCATTCAATAAGTAGCCATTGGGTGCCGATTATTTATGTGTCAGGTAATATACCAGGAACTGATATATTGTGATTAACAAATAGATGTGGTTCAGCAACTTAACAGTTGTGGGAGAAACTGGCAAGTAAACAAGTAATGATAATAGAGTTTAGTAAGGGCTGTGAGGGGCGTGCCATGACAGAGCAGAGGAAGGGCTTTCTGACTTGAGACAGAGAAGGCTTCTCCGAGTGAGGTCAGGGCTGAGATTGGGTAAGACATCCTGAGAACAGCTAACAGGAATTGTTTGCTATCTGTGAGATACCTTCTAGGTGCTTTACCTACCTAATCTCTTTTAATTCTCAAACCCACTCTATAAATTGGAAACTGAGTTGTAAAGGACAAAGCAACTTTCCAGGATCTCTAAGTTAAGAAGTGGTCAAGCTGGGTGGGATTTGATCTCAGGTAGTTTTCCAGAGCCTCTGTTCTTAATTACCTCTCCCTAGATAGCTAGGTAAAAGTGGGAGTGTTCCAGGTAGGGCATTCTTTTCCTCTTTGGGGTTATAGGCAGTATGGAAAGAAGTTTGCAGTATTAGGTATTTAATAAGGATTGGAACATTATTTTGGCTAGATGGAAAGAAATTTGTATCTGAATGCCAACCCTGTTTAAGCTACTCTGGGGTTAGTCAAAAACTCAGTAAGATCCTGTCCACATGCTCAAGGAGCTTGCAGTGAGTTAGAGGAGAAAAGTCATGGGTTTTGCTTCTTAGTGACGGTAACCCTGGTTTCCCCACTGATCACTTTGACAAGGGTAAGGACTGCTTTGAGGTGAGTCTTGAAGGATGAATGGAGTTTGGATAGGCAGAAATGGGGAATGGGAATCTTAGGTGGAAAGATTCAAGAGCGAAAGCATGATGGTAGGAAAAGCTTAAGGAACTTCGGGAGATGGGGATTTTGTTTTTTGTTTTTTTTTTTTAATTTGGGTGATAAAGGTCAGTAGGTGGATTTAAACTTGATCCTAGAGGCTCATTCCAAATAAATATATTTAAGCTAGGTTTCTACCAAATGAGCTTAAACACATGGAATATTTTCTGTCTTTGAAAAGAAGGTCGCTCCAATTTTGTTTGATTAGGCCTCGTAGGATTCATTTTGTGTGTTTAACGGTTCCTACTTAGCATAACAAATTGTGATATAAAGAGTATAAAAAAATAAAAATCACTCAATTTCATCACTTAAAGATAGCCACTATTAAGATGATTTACCTTCTATATTTTTAATAAACTTTTATTTATTAAAAATAGCATATGATACATATTATACATATATCTTGGAAAGCTGTTTTTCTTGTTTTAATTTAATTTAATGATCTTCCACAGCAAATATTGTTTTTATTGGCTAGATGGTATTTCACTTTATTAATATACCATTAATTTGTCTACTACTCTATTGATGGACATCTCTGTGTGTGTTTTCTGTTGTTATTTCTGTGTATTCTGTGTATTATTTCTGTTATATATCTGTAACCAGCTTTTTATACTTTATATACCTAATTCTAGTTTACTTCCTTCTAAATTTCTTGAAATAGATAGTTAAAAGGGTATGTACTTCTTCAGGGTTTTGATACCTTATTGCCAGACAGTCCTTCAGAGTGTAAAGGGTATGAGTGTTCCTTTTTTTTTTTTTTTAAGCCTCTCCAACACTGGTAATATCAGTCTTTTAAATATTTTTACTAAACAGAACATTGGAGAGAAGAGGTTAGGTTTGTTGTTTTTTTTTTTTTTT